ACGATGAGTGGCTGTTAGACAAACAGGAGTCAGTTAAACCAAGCTGCCGACCGTCTTTAATTTAGTCAATTAACTCAGAAGATGAGCAAACGGGGGAAAGATAGAATTTCTGGAAAGGGGGGAGGGGGTGGGGGAGCGAAACATGGGTAGGGAAACGGGGGGCATCAGATGTAATTCTGGCATGAGATGTAATTAAGGCATTAGAGGTAAGTATGGTTTTAGAAGTTTTTATGTCATACAATGTAATTATGGCATGGAATATATTTATGGCACGAGATGTAATTATGGCATGAGCAGAAATTTGGGCACGTGATGTAATTATGGCAAGAAATATAATTATGGCACGAGATGTAATTACGACATGAGCAGTAATTATGGCACGGGATGTAATTACGACATGAGCAGTATTTATGGCACGGGATGTAATTACGGCACGAGCGGTAATTTTGGCATAGGTTATAATTATGGCAAGAAATTTAATTATGGCACGAGTTGTAATTATGGCAAAAAATTTAATTATGGCAGGATATGAAACTATGGCAAGAAATTTGGTTATGACACTAGATGTAATTACGGCATGAGCGCTACTTATGGCACGGGATATAATTATGGCAAAAATTTAATTATGGCACGAGATGTAATTACGGCATGAGCGGTAATTGTGGCATGAGCGGTAATTGTGACATGAGATAAAATTATGGCAGGAGATGTAATTATGGCATGAGCGGTAATTATGGCATGAGCGGTAATTATGACATGAGGTAAAATTATGGCAAGAGCGGTAATTATGACATGAGGTAAAATTATGGCAGGAGATGTAATTATGGCAAGAGCGGTAATTATGACATGAGGTAAAATTATGGCAAGAGCGGTAATTGTGACATAAGGTAAAATTATGGCAGGAGATGTAATTATGGCATGAGCGGTAATTATGACATGAGCGGTAATTATGACATGAGGTAAAATTATGGCAGGAGATGTAATTATGGCATGAGCGGTAATTATGACAAGAGCGGTAATTATGACATGAGGTAAAATTATGGCAGGAGATGTAATTATGGCATGAGCGGTAATTATGACATGAGCGGTAATTATGACATGAGGTAAAATTATGGCAGGAGATGTAATTATGGCATGAGCGGTAATTATGACAAGAGCGGTAATTATGACATGAGGTAAAATTATGGCAGGAGATGTAATTATGGCATGAGCGGTAATTATGACATGAGGTAAAATTATGGCAGGAGATGTAATTATGGCATGAGCGGTAATTATGGCATGAGCGGTAATTATGACAGGAGATGTAATTATCGCATGAGGTAAAATTATGGCAGGAGATGTAATTATGGCAAGAGCGGTAATTGTGGCACGGGATGTAATTATGGCAAGAGCGGTAATTATGGCACGGGATGTAATTATGGCAAGAGCGGTAATTATGGCATGAGGTAAAATTATGGCAGGAGATGTAATTATGACATGAGGTAAAATTACGGCAGGAGATGTAATTATGGCAAGAAATTTAATTATGGCAGGAGATATAATTATGGCAAGAACTTTAATTATGGCATGAGATGTAATTACAGCATGTAATGTAATTATGGCATGAGATGTAATTGTGGACTGATGTGTCATTACGGCATTTCGTCCTTATTAGCTCTTCACAACGAACAAATCTTTCTTATTAAGTCCTTACGTCATTTTCAGGACGTAAGAGGCGATCAACGAGTCTCGTAACCACACCTCACCACCCCGCACATAACCAAAACCGACGACGGAGCAAGCCCCGGACACCTGAGAAGCAAACCTCTACCACAGCCGCCTGAGATGCAGTCTGCAGCAGCCGTCACCAACCTGGACCTGGACGTGCCGACGGACGCGTTCCCTGGAGGAAGGATACACCGGACAGGTAATACAATCATTGTGTCTTTGTCCGGTGCCGATGCGGCCTCTAGGGCGACGACCGCCTGGCTGACCAGCGTCCTGATAGGCCCAGTCGGAATGCCTATCCACGGAATAGCGGCGCTGTACCGCTACTCGCGGACCACCGAGTGGTACCTCACCCTCACGGAAGCAGCTCACAGGACTCATTACGACCTCCTGCACAATGCGCGGAAAACAGTGGAAGGTGTAGATGTTCTTCTAGAACATCTAGACAAAGTGAGGACAAAAATCTGCATCCATTGGATGCCAGTTACAGCCACGGAACAGACCGTGAAAAAAAATAATTACCGGAATCACGGGAGACGAAGATCCCGAAACTTACCAGACAAAACACGGCATTGACAGATGGTATGCCTCGGTGAGGGAGACAAAACCGATCCCTCATTATGTCAACATGAGGAATCCGGCGCTCCCCGGCGGCAGGCACCAGCTCTGGGTCACTGTGCCAGGCAGAAGGACGAATTGTCCACACTGCGGGCACAATGATGACCACTGGGCGAACAAATGCCCCACAAGAAGGAGACGACACGAGCCAGCACCAGCAAAGAAAATCCCACAAGAGGAGGTTTTTCCACTCCTGATAGAGTCCTCCAAAGAAGCAGAAGATGAGCCGCAGAAGGAAGAGACTTCTTCCGAGGACGCACAGTCATCTGCAGAAGAAGATGGTACAGGAGTTCAAAAGACCACTGCAAACAAGAAGAAAAAGAACAAAAAAAGGAACCGGCCAACCAGTTCAAACGACACATCACCGACAGTGCCTAAAATCGGACAAGACAAACCAAGAAGTGAAAGCACCCCGAAAAAGAAGACAAGAGAAGCCAGAACTGGAGAAACTGAGGACAACAACCCTTGCTACTGGGAGATTCAGTGCAGCGGCTGTTACACGAAAACAGGGACATCATCACATGCAAAATGGGATCTCAAGTGCAGAGGGTGTCAGTGGCCCTTAGCAACAGCTATCGACGCGGAATTATGCCTCGTAAGCGGACACGCCACCCTCGCGGAGAAGGTTCCCATCAAAAGGACCCAGGAGAAGCTGGTCCTTTAAATTAAATGAATGGAGTCCCTCTTTTCTTTATTTCCCCCGCCCCAGCACTTTTTCCTTTCTCTCTTTGTTTTGTTACTTTTTCATTTCCTTTTTGTATTTTGAAATAAAATTGGAAAGCACTCACAAACAACACCACAATAACACGCACAAACGGCAACGAATGTAAAAACAGACTTACAAAAGTACTCGCAATTCCTTTACCATCTAGTTTCGTCCTTTTTAGGACGAAATTTTTTGTTATTTGAAGCCCCACTCTGGCTTTTGCCAGGGGCCGCAATATAGGCAGGCCATAAATATGGCCAAATGTCTGAACGCGGTTTCTGGGACCTCTCCACGGCGATCCTCATCCATATGGTGGCACTTTGTGTCATCGGGTGTTTATCGCTTGTGTGATGTCCTGGTGGGGTAGAAAGTCAGTCAGTCAGTCAAATACTCGCAACATACAAAACACAAACACACACACACACACACACACACACACACACACACACACAAAATTACGGCATGGAAAGAATCAAGACAACAAATATAATTGTGTTATATGATTTTCTTATGACCACAAAATATAATTATCACACGTGATAAAATTAGTATCAGAAATGTAATCATTGCATGAGTTGTTGATATGGCATGAGATGTAATTTTAGCATGAGATGTAATTGGGGAATATTAGCCATAAAGGGAAAAAATACATTAATATAGGCGAAGGTCATCTTCTGAAAATGTCGAGTATTACAAATATTAGTATGTTCTGTGCAAGACACCTCACTTAGCGCCCACAAGCCAGTGTTCCTGTACTATACACATTATTAAGGCCTGACACTCTAGTATTTCTTGTACTACAACCAATAATGAGCACTCACACTAGGGTATTTCATGTTCTACAACTTGACTATCCATGTCTAAGTATCACTGTTGTGTCTTTATTCACGGAAATACAAACACACTTGACCACCCATGTCTAAGTATCACTGTGGTGTCTTTATTCACAGACATACAAACACTTGACCAGCCATGTTTAAGTATCACTGTTGTGTCTTTATTCACGGACATACAAACACACTTGACCACCCATGTCTAAGTATCACTGCGGTGTCTTTATTCACAGACATACAAACACTTGACCAGCCATGTTTAAGTATCACTGTTGTGGCTTTATTCACGGACATACAAACACACTTGACCACCCATGTCTAAGTATCACTGTTGTGTCTTTATTCACGGACATACAAACACACTTGACCACCCATGTCTAAGTATCACTGTGGTGTCTTTATTCACGGACATACAAACACACTTGACCACCCATGTCTAAGTATTACTGTTGTGACTTTATTCACGGACATACAAACACACTTGACCACCCATGTCTAAGTATCACTGTGGTGTCTTTATTCACGGACATACAAACACACTTGACCACCCATGTCTAAGTATCACTGTTGTGACTTTATTCACGGACATACAAACACACTTTACTACCCATGTCTAAGTATCACTGTTGTGTCTTTATTCACGAACATACAAACACACTTGACCACCCATGTCTAAGTATCACTGTTGTGTCTTTATTCACGGACATACAAACACACTTGACCACCCATGTCTAAGTATCACTGTGGTGTCTTTATTCACGGACATACAAACACACTTGACCACCCATGTCTAAGTATCACTGTTGTGACTTTATTCACGGACATACAAACACACTTGACCACCCATGTCTAAGTATCACTGTGGTGTCTTTATTCACGGACATACAAACACACTTGACCACCCATGTCTAAGTATCACTGTTGTGTCTTTATTCACGGACATACAAACACACTTGACCACCCATGACTAAGTATCACTGTTGTGTCTTTATTCACGGACATACAAACACACTTGACCAGCCATGTCTAAGTATCACTGTGGTGTCTTTATTCACGGACATACAAACACACTTGACCACCCATGTCCAAGTATCACTGTTTTTTCTTTATTTACGGACACACACACTTGACCACCTATGGTCAAGGTCACTGTTGTGTTTTTCTCGCAGACAGCATTTTGTTCTTCTGCAACACAATGGGAAATCCGTAGTTTGGCACCGCTCCGACCTGTGAATGACCAAAGTAATGTGTCGGTAGGTTGCAGAAAATCTCGAACATCTCTTGTGAACGGCGAGTTGTATACTCCCATCGTTGTCCACAGATTTGTCCAGATTTTGCACCGTACACTCTAGCCAACACCCTCACGGTTGTGTGTGAAAGATTGCTGGCTTAACAGACTTTAGTGTGGCAACTGTGTCAGCAACATTGGCGACAGGACAATCGGGGAGCCACTGATGTGGTCAGTCAGGGACGGACAGGTGTGGCTAGGGGATTGTCTCCAGCCTTGAAACAGACACGACCAGTGGTCGATCTTTTAGATAACAGAGTAAAGTTGTTACAGCTCCAACAATTGGCACCTGTGTCCAGTAATTTGGGTCAGCCTCCGGACGCCAGCGACAAGACAAAACAGAAGAGTCCGGCTTCCAAAACAGATGCTCTAGGGCGTGAGGGAACCAGGCAGCAGAAACTTCAGTCACCAAGTTTAAGAGTTTCTTGAAAACACATGTTTGCTGAAATGCCCAGACACACAGAGGGCTGTTCCCTGTCAGGACAGGGACTCACAACAAACAACAACAACAACAGCTGCGACCCAGGAGCCTTCATTCTTCCCGCTTATCCACCCCCTGGCGCCTCCAATGATCAGTTACTTCTGGGACCTGACCAGATAGATATGATTCTAGCCCTGGCTGTCTCCAGTAAGTGATTCAGTCCCCTCACATCTGTGGTGTGTTGTACAGCATGTTGTGCACATTGTACCAAACTGTGTGTAACACAGTTACTTGTGTTTGTGTCTCGGTTATGTTGGTGTCTAAGTTGTTAAGTTTGTGTATCAGACGTTGAATTTGTGTCTTAGATGTATGTTTTGTCTCAGTTCTTATGCTTGTGTCTCATTTATTATGTGTGTGTCCCAGTTGTTATGTTTGTGTCTCTGATGCCCTATTTGTGTCTCACTTGTTTTTACGCCAGTTCTAATGCCAATTTTTCAAGTATATTATATTCGTATCAGTGTGTGTGTTAATGTGAATTTATATCATAATTTCATGTGTGTCGATGTGACTACCCCTTCTCACTTCTACCACACACGCTCTCCCTTGCTACAACACACACTGTCACCTTCTACCACACACACTCTCACCTCCTACACCACTCACTCTCACCTTCTATCCCAAATTCTCTCACCTTCTAACCCACATTCTCTCACCTGCACAGACTGTACTGGCGGTGACATGGTCGGCTGTTGCAAGATAGCGCTACAGTCAAGTCACATGGGCAACATTATCCGGAACTACCTGGTAGCGGTCAAGTACGGCCTCTATGACGTCATGGACAAGATGATCCACGTGATCAGACGTAACTTCCTGTGTATCTCGCGCTCTCAGGAGTTCCTCTCACTTCCGCTGGAGTACATTCTAGTAGGTGACTGGGGTGTGGTGTGGTCACTAGTGAGTGGTTAAGGAACTGGGGAGTGGCTTTGTCTTTTTCTTCTTCGCGTTCACCGGCTGTAAACTCTAGCGGAAAGTTCTGGTTGTTCATCCATTTCTAGACTGCAATCCTGTCCCCGAACCTGAGTGTTGTGTGTGCATCCGTTTTACAGATCTGACTCATTTCTGTGCAGACTCCTGGTTCCTTACCTCTAGGGCAAATGTACTCCGATTTTAAAGGAAGCTCCTAATTAGTCGACTCTTACGACATACTTTTGGGTAGGCAGTGGGTCTATTCTTGTTCTCCCTTTAACAGGGCCCCGGAACCAACACGAGGAAGTGGTCTTATGACTGGGGAGTGGTGGGCGACTAAGGACTAAGAAGTCGTTGAATGACTGTGGAGTGGCTGAGTCGATGGGGAGTGGCTAAAAAAATGAAGACTAATGATGATTAAAAAGAAGATAATGATGAAAAAAATTAACAAGATAATAGTAAATATAATAAAGAAGATAATTATGAACATAATGAAAAATATAATAATGAAGAAAATAGTGAAACATATGATGATAAAAATAATGAACACGATCATGAAGAAGATATGAATATAATAACAATTAAGATGAAGAAGATAACGAAGAAGATAATAATGAATATAATGCCTTGCATACTGAAGTAGACCACGCAGCTAGCCTGTAGTTGTCCCGTGTGTGCCACAGCTGTTCATGGAAGACTCCTACCTCAACGTCCACAACGAGCTGGACATGTTCGTCACCGCCCTCTTGTGGATCGACTACAACAAGCAGGAGAGGATCGTTCACTCAGGTCTGGCACTCTCGTTTTCCTCTCATTGTCTCTGTCTCCTTCTCTCTCATTCCCTTTCATTGTCTCTGTCTTATTCTTTCTCCTTCTCTCTCATTCCTTCTCATTGTTTCTATCTCAGTCTCTCTCATTCCCTCTCATTGCCTCTCTCTCCTTCTCGTTCATTTATTTTCACTTCTCTTTCTCGCCTCTCTCTCATTCCTTCTCATTGTCTTTCTTTTTCTCTCTAATTTCCTCTCATTGTCTTTCTCTCCTTTTCTTTTGTTCCCTCTCGTTGTCTCTCCTTTTGTGTTTATCCGTACTCTTCGTCTATGTCTTTGTCTCTCCAGTTATCCTGTGAAGCATACCTTCTACTGGCAGTTATCCTTTGAGTGTTCTATCCCCCCTTCCCTCAACCCTTTTTTTTTCAGTTTTTGAAAGGGTCGAATGTAAAAACTGGCCTGCGTGCCCAATTTTTGACACTTTGGAAATACAATTTGTTCGTTCGTCTCCTAAGTATGTCTCCTAGCCGTCTGAGTCTTCGAAGACCGAATATTGAGAAAAATGTTATAACTTCTGCTCTTTCCAATGTCTCTTGTGATCTTGTCCTGCCACTTTATACTAAGTATTCTTCTTAGGGATCACATGTGAAAACTATTTGGCCGTCTCTCCTGGTGCGAATAAGCTGGCAAAGTTTCACTGCCATAAAGCAGAGTGCTGAGAATGCAAGCCTGATAAACTGAGTTTTTGTTTTAATCGTGAGCTTTCTGTTCTCCTTAACTTCGTTGTTGTTATTATGAGTTTACTGTTGTTGCTCATTGTTGTTGCTGCTCAGCCCAACCTGGTGTAGTTTTTTTGGTTCAGTTATAGTTTATTACTGATTGAGGAGAGCTTCTAACGTTTTTCGTCCCAAATACACCTTGACTGGCCTTTTTTATGCTTTGTGACCTTTCACTCGCGTTAGTCTAAGTTACAGAGGTGTCACGTTGTGTTGTGCTCGATGCTTTTAGCTGTGTAAATTGCTCGTCGTGTACTGGTTGGTGTGAGCGGGCGGCCAGACTGCGTATATTATAGCTTTGTCGGACTTCAAGTATGATATGAATTTATTTCAGCTGTCAGCGTTGGCGAACGACAAGGAGAGCAGCGGTGCTTTTTCTAACAATTCTGAAACCACACGAGACTGAGGCTGTAGGGGTAAAGGGTTGGAGTTAGTGACGGTTCTAAATGTTTTGTGGTTGCTAAAAGCGGTGACATCGTGTAATATAGAACTCGGTATTTCGCCAGTGATAGCATTAAAAACAAATCACTGTGACTCCTCTGTAACATAGACTAGCGCGCGTGAAAGGTCTCGAAGCGTGAATGAACTGCCAACCCGGTGTTTTTGGTGGGGACAATGTTAAAGGCACCGAATGAGGATCTGATAGGTAAAGTAGTCAACTGTCGCCAGCTCTTCGCCATCAATGTAGACTGAGGGTGTCTTCAGAAACCTGTAGGATAATCTGTGTCTTCCTTTTAGTTGAAACACACATCAGCGAATGGAGATAATAAACGTTGCAGTTCTTCCTCTGAATGGATTGTAACTGCTGCATCAGCTGTATACAGCAGCTCTCTGATAAGATTCTTTATTGTTCTGGTTCTGACCTTCAGCCTGCGAACAACTGAAAGACTGATGTTGGACTGAGAATAGATAAATTTACCAACTACATAGTTACTAATACTACAGCAACTCCAGGTACTACTACCTCCACCACTAGCACTATCACTTCCACCGCCATCGCAACCACTGCAACCACCACATAAACTACTAATACAGTAACTGCTACGACTCCTTTTTCCGTTACGACATTTTCTGATGTTACGTCCCATGTTCTGTCAACCATGAACCAGGCCGAGTGCTCAAGTGTGTCCGATACGCCTATATCGATCCCGGGGACATCGTGCGCTACGTGGAACCGAACCTGCACCTGTTCACCGGCCAGGAAGGGGCCGAGGCCTTGGTCAACCTCTACAAGTAGGTACACCTGTCTACGTTATTTATAAGTGTCAGTGTTATGAATCTGTGTCTATGTTATATATGGAATTGCATTGTTTTATATATATGTGTGTGTGTTATATTTTTGCGTGTGTTTTTGTTATAAACGTGCGTTTTATATATATATATATATATATATATATATATATATATATATATATATATATATATATATATATATATATATATATATATATATATATATATATATATATATATATATATATATATAAAAATATATATATATATATATATATATATATATATATATATATATATATATATATATGTGTGTGTGTGTGTGTTATATACGTGTGTATGTGTGAAATAAACGTATATGTGTATTATATACGTGTGTATGTGTGTTATATACGTAAGTGTGGCTTATATGTGTTACGCGTTTGTGTGTGCTATATACGTGTGTATGTTATAGACGCATGTGTATGTTATAGACGTGTGTGTGTGTTATAGACGTGTGTCTGTGTGTGTTTTAGACGCATGCGTTTGTTATAGACGTGTGTGTGTGATAGAAGTGTGTGTGTGTTATAGACTTATGTGTGTGTGTGTTATAGACTTATGTGTGTGTATTTGTTATAGACGTGTGTGTGTGTGTGTGTGTTATAGACGTGTGTCACAACTGAACGCGTTCACCTACTCTAGCTGCATGAGGACTGGGATGTCAAGGGACAAACACGTAGAAGATGGAGATGACACATCTCAGAGACAAATGGAAGATGGAGATGACACATCTCAGAGACAAGTAGAAGATGGAGATGGCACATCTCAGAGACAAATGGAAAGTGGAGATGACACATCTCAGAGACAAATGGAAGGTGGAGATGACACATCTCAGAGACAAATGGAAGGTGGAGATGGCACATCTCAGAGACAAATAGAAGGTGGAGATGACACATCTCAGAGACAAGTAGAAGATGGAGATGACACATCTCAGAGACAAATGGAAAGTGGAGATGATACATCTCAGAGACAAATGGAAGGTGGAGATGACACATCTCAGAGACAAATGGAAGGTGGAGATGGCACATCTCAGAGACAAATAGAAGGTGGAGATGACACATCTCAGAGACAAGTAGAAGATGGAGATGACACATCTCAGAGACAAGTAGAAGATGGAGATGGCACATCTCAGAGACAAATGGAAGGTGGAGATGACACATCTCAGAGACAAATGGAAGGTGGAGATGACACATCTCAGAGACAAATGGAAGGTGGAGATGACACATCTCAGAGACAAGTAGAAGATGGAGATGACACATCTCAGAGACAAGTGGAAGGTGGAGATGACACATCTCAGAGACAAGTGGAAGATGAAGATGACACATCTCAGAGACAAGTGGAAGATGGAGATGACACATCTCAGAGACAAGTGGAAGATGGAGATGACACATCTCAGAGACAAGTGGAAGATGGAGATGACACATCTCAGAGACAAGTGGAAGATGGAGATGACATATCTCAGAGACAAGTGGAAGATGGAGATGGCACATTTCAGAGACAAGTGGAAGATGGAGATGACACATCTCAGAGACAAGTGGAAGATGGAGATGACACATCTCAGAGACAAGTGGAAGATGGAGATGACACATCTCAGAGACAAGTGGAAGATGGAGATGACACATCTCAGAGACAAGTGGAAGGTGGAGATGACACATCTCAGAGACAAATGGAAGATGGAGATGGCACATTTCAGAGACAAGTGGAAGATGGAGATGACACATCTCAGAGACAAGTGGAAGATGGAGATGACACATCTCAGAGACAAGTGGAAGATGGAGATGACACATCGCAGAGACAAGTGGAAGGTGGAGATGGCACATTTCAGAGACAAGTGGAAGATGGAGATGACACATCTCAGAGACAAGTGGAAGATGGAGATGACACATCTCAGAGACAAGTAGAAGATGGAGATGACACATCTCAGAGACAAGTGGAAGGTGGAGATGGCACATCTCAGAGACAAGTGGAAGATGGAGATGACACATCTCAGAAACAAGTGGAAGATGGAGATGACACATCTCAGAGACAAGTGCAAGATGGAGATGACACATCTCAGAGACAAGTGGAAGATGGAGATGACACATCTCAGAGACAAGTGGAAGGTGGAGATGGCACATTTCAGAGACAAGTGGAAGATGGAGATGACACATCTCAGAGACAAGTGGAAGATGGAGATGACACATCTCAGAGACAAGTAGAAGATGGAGATGACACATCTCAGAGACAAGTGGAAGGTGGAGATGGCACATCTCAGAGACAAGTGGAAGATGGAGATGGCACATTTCAGAGACAAATGGAAGGTGGAGATGGCACATTTCAGAGACAAGTAGAATATGGAGATGACACATCTCAGAGACAAGTGAAAGATGGAGATGACACATCTCAGAGACAAGTGGAAGATGGAGATGGCACATTTCAGAGACAAATGGAATGTGGAGATGGCACATTTCGGAGACAAGTGGAAGGTGGAGATGGCACATTTCAGAGACAAATGGAAGGTGGAGATGGCACATCTCAGAGACAAATGGAAGGTGGAGATGGCACATCTCAGAGACAAATGGAAGATGGAGATGACACATCTCAGAGACAAGTGGAAGATGGAGATGGCACATTTCAGAGACAAATGGAATGTGGAGATGGCACATTTCGGAGACAAGTGGAAGATGGAGATGACACATCTCAGAGACAAGTGGAAGATGGAGATGACACATCTCAGAGACAAATGGAAGGTGGAGATGGCACATTTCAGAGACAAATGGAAGGTGGAGATGGCACACCTCAGAGACAAGTGGAAGGTGGAGATGACACATCTCAGAGACAAGTAGAAGATGGAGATGGCACACCTCAGATACATCAGATCTTGTAGTGATGGCACATCTCAGAGACATCAGATCTTGTAGTGATGGCACATCTCAGAGATATCAGATCTTGTAGTGATGGCACATCTCACAGACATCAGATCTTGTAGTGATGGCACATCTCACAGACATCAGATCTTGTAGTGATGGCACATCTCACAGACGTCAGATCTTGTAGTGATGGCACAACTCACAGATATCAGATCTTGTAGTGATGGCACATCTCAGAGACATCAGACCTTGTAGTGATGGCACAACTCACAGACATCAGATCTTGTAGTGATGGCACATCTCACAGACATCAGACCTTGTAGTGATGGCACAACTCACAGATATCAGATCTTGTAGTGATGGCACAACTCACAGACATCAGACCTTGTAGTGATGGCACAACTCACAGACATCAGACCTTGTAGTGATGGCACAACTCACAGACATCAGACCTTGTAGTGATGGCACAACTCACAGATATCAGATCTTGTAGTGATGGCACAACTCACAGATATCAGATCTTGTAGTGATGGCACATCTCACAGACATCAGACCTTGTAGTGATGGCACAACTCACAGACATCAGATCTTGTAGTGATGGCACATCTCAGAGACATCAGATCTTGTAGTGATGGTACACCTCAGAGACATCAGATCTTGTAGTGATGGCACATCTCACAGATATCAGATCTTGTAGTGATGGTACACCTCAGAGACATCAGATCTTGTAGTGATGGCACATCTCACAGATATCAGATCTTGTAGTGATGGCACATCTCACAGACATCAGACCTTGTAGTGATGGCACAACTCACAGACATCAGACCTTGTAGTGATGGCACAACTCACAGACATCAGACCTTGTAGTGATGGCACAACTCACAGATATCAGATCTTGTAGTGATGGCACAACTCACAGATATCAGATCTTGTAGTGATGGCACATCTCACAGACATCAGACCTTGTAGTGATGGCACAACTCACAGACATCAGATCTTGTAGTGATGGCACATCTCAGAGACATCAGATCTTGTAGTGATGGTACACCTCAGAGACATCAGATCTTGTAGTGATGGCACATCTCACAGACATCAGACCTTGTAGTGATGGCAAATCTCAGAAACAGCGGATCTTGTAGTGTCTTTGCTTTCTCTGTGGATAACAGACAGTGTCTCTGCTGTCTCTGTGTATAATTGACAGTGTCTCTGCTGTCTCAGTAGATAACAGACAGTGACTCTGCTGTCTATGTGAATAATTGACAGTGTCTCTGCTGTCTCTGTGGATAACAGACAGTGACTCTGCTGTCTCTGTGGATAACAGACAGTGACTCTGCTATCTCTGTGGATAACAGACAGTATCTCAGCTGTGTTTGTGGGGAACAGACAGTGTCACAGCTGTGTTTGTGGGGAACAGACAGTGTCTCAGCTGTGTTTGTGGGGAACAGACAGTGTCTCAGCTGTGTTTGTGGGGAACATCAGTGTCTCAGCTGTGTTTGTGGGGAACAGACAGTGTCTCAGCTGTGTTTGTGGGGAACAGACAGTGTCTCAGCTGTGCTTGTGGGGAACAGACATTTTCTCAGCTGTGCTTGTGGATAACAGACAGTGTCTCAGCTGTGCTTGTGGATAACAGAAATTATCTCAGCTGTGCTTGTGGATAACAGACAGTGTCTCAGCTGTGCTTGTGGATAACAGAAATTATCTCAGCTGTGTTTGTGGAGTACAAACAGTACATAATTAATCTTGTGTGCCTATGTCAATGATACCAAGATGTGATACTCAGGGGGCGTCACTTGGCAAAAGTGTGCCCTTATTGTATAGTCTAGTTATTGCCCTTGACGCTCGCCTCACCTACGAATGTTTGCTTGGGGCGAGCACCATGTCCAGTAAGTCGAGAGCGGGGGGAAAAAACAAGCAAAAACTGCATTTTGTGCAATGAAGAACATCTTGTGATACAAATCTCTGTCACGGGAGGTTAGAAAAGCGGTGTACCAATTTCAACATATGTTTGTGAGTCCTGAATAATTAATCGACAACCCAGGCCATATCTTGAGGACTCTGAGGTATGGTTTTTACAAAAAAAATTCCAAGAGTTATGGATGTTTTCGCTATGTTGTATCTGACATGGATGTATCCACTATGTTGTATTTGACATGGGTGTATCGACTATGTTGTATCTGACATGGATGTGTGCACTATGTTGTATCTGAAATGGTTGTGTCCACTATCTTGTATCTGACATGGATGTATCCACTATGTTGTATTTGACATGGATGTATCCACTATGTTGTATTTGACATGGATGTATCCACTATGTTGTATTTGACATGGATGTATCCACTATGTTGTATTTGACATGGGTGTATCGACTATGTTGTATCTGACATGGATGTGTGCACTATGTTGTATCTGAAATGGTTGTGTCCACTATCTTGTATCTGACATGGATGTATCCACTATGTTGTATTTGACATGGATGTATCCACTATGTTGTATTTGACATGGATGTATCCACTATGTTGTATCTGACATGGATGTATCCACTATGTTGTATCTGACATGGATGTATCCACTATGTTGTATCTGACATGGATGTATCCACTATATTGTATCTGACATGGATGTATCCACTATGTTGTTTCTGACATGAATGTATTCACTATGTTGTATCTGACAAGAATGTATCCACTATGTTGTATCTGACATGAATGTATCCACTATGTTGTATCTGACATGGATGAATCCACTATGTTGTATCTGACATGGATGTATCCCCTATGTTGTATCTGACATGGATGTATCCACTATGTTGTATCTGACATGGATGAATCCCCTATGTTGTATCTGACATGGATGTATCCACTATGTTGTATCTGACATGGATGTATCCACTATGTTGTATCTGACATGGATGTATCCACTATGTTGTATCTGACATGGATGTATCCACTATGTTGTATCTGACATGGATGTATCCACTATGTTGTATCTGACATGGATGTATCCACTATGTTGTATCTGACATGGATGTATCCACTATGTTGTATCCGACATGGATGTATCCACTATGTTGTATCTGACATGGATGTATCCACTATGTTGTATCTGACATGGATGTATCCACTATGTTGTATCTGACATGGATGTATCCACTATGTTGTATCTGACATGGATGTATCCACTATATTGTATCTGACATGGATGTATCCACTATGTTGTTTCTGACATGAATGTATTCACTATGTTGTATCTGACAAGAATGTATCCACTATGTTGTATCTGACATGAATGTATCCACTATGTTGTATCTGACATGGATGAATCCACTATGTTGTATCTGACATGGATGAATCCCCTATGTTGTATCCGACATGAATGTATCCACTATGTTGTATCCGACATGGATGTATCCACTATGTTGTATCTGACATAAATGTATCCATTATGTTGTATCTGACATAAATGTATCCATTACGTTGTATCTGACATGGATGTATCCCCTATGTTGTATCTGACATGGATGTATCCACTATGTTGCATCCGACGTGGATGTATCCACTGTGTTGTATCTGACATGGGTGTATCTATTATGTTGTATCTGACATGAATGTATCCACTATGTTGTATCCGACATGAATGTATCCACTATGTTGTATCTGACATGGATGTATCCCCTATGTTGTATCTGACATGGATGTATCCACTATGTTGTATATGACATGGATGTATCCACTATGTTGTATCTGACATGGATGTATCCACTATGTTGTATCTGACATGGATGTATCCACTATGTTGTATCTGACATGAGTGTCTCTGGCATGACTTGCCCTATTCACAGACATCACGTGTTCTCAAGAGTAGCTCCAGCGCCCCCAGGCTGTGGCACCATGATCCCACCCCGGCGAGGCATGGTCGGCGTCCCTGCCAGAGCTTACATCGTGTCAGGTCAGTATTGTCCCTGCCAGAGCTTACATCTTGTCAGGTCAGTACTGTCCCTGCCAGAGCTTACATCGTGTCAGGTCAGTACTGACCCTGCTAGAGCTTACATCGCGTCAGGTCACAGCTGTCCCTGCTGACTGCTTTCTCTCTCTCTCTCTCTCTCTCTCTCTCTCTCTCTCTCTCTCTCTCTGTATCTCTCTCTACGTATCTCTTTAGTTGTCTTTCTCTCTTTCTCTCTCTTTGTCTCTTCCTCTATGTCTCTCTATCTTTCTTTCTGCTGTTCTCTCTCGTTTTCATTCTCTTTATCTTTCTCTCATTTTCTTCCCAACATCCTTTCTCCTTGTCTTCTTTGCTCTTTATGTCTGTTTCTGTATCTCACTGTCTCTGTTTTTCTCTCTCCGTCACTCCATTTCTCTCTGTTTCTCTGTATCTCGACTTATTCCAGTCTCTCTTTCTGTGCATCTATATGTGTATCTCTCGGTTCCCCTCGCCATCAGCACTGTTGATCACAGCTGTAAGTTGTATGTTGACCTACAATCTTATATTTGCTGGTTCTACCTGCAGCAACTCCAGTTTTGTATTTGCGTCGTTTCTATTTTCAGGAACTGTAGTCTTGCATTTGCGTGGTTTCTACATACAGCAACTCTAATCGTGTATTTGTCTGCTTCTGCTTGCAGGAACTCCAGCCATGCAAGGCGCTGGCCGTGGGCCTCAGTCTGCACCACAAGTTCCAGGTATGCCACCAGTGAAACTTCCCAAGGGCAGAGTTACCTTCGCCCCAGACACTTTATTTCCGCTGGGTGAAACACCACCGAATTCCAAGACACAACTGGGGATGGCTGTAGACAACCCTCCCGCTGGGGAAACACCAGGGGCGACACCTGCAGTCACGTCCCCAGCTGGGGAAACACCAGTAGCAACACCTACAGTTACGCCGCCAGCTGGGGAAACACCAATAGCAACACCTACAGTTACGCCGCCAGCTGGGGAAACACCAATAGCAACACCTACAGTCACCCCACCAGCTGGGGAAACACCAATAGCAGGTACTAGTGCACCAGCTGTTGAGGGAGCGCCACCAGTAGGTACTCCAGCCGTTCCGGGTGCACAGGTAGCACCTGCAAGTACTCCAGCCGTTTCGGGTGCACAGGTAGTGCCTGCAGGTACTCCAGCTGTTCCGGTTGCACAGGTAGCGCCTGCAGGTATTCCAGCCGTTCCGAGTGCGGAGGTAGCGCCTGCAGGTACTCCAGTCGTTCCGGTTGCACAAGTAGCGCCTGTAGGTACTCCAGCCGTTCTGGGTCCACAGGTAGTGCCTGCAGGTACTCCAGCCGTTCCGGGTGCACAGGTAGCGTCTGCAGGTACTCCAGCCGTTCCAGGTGCACAGGTAGCGCCTGCAGTTACTCCAGCCGTTCCGGGTGCACAGGTAGCGCCTGCAGGTACTCCGGCTATTCTGGGTGCACAAGTTAGCAACGTTTCGGGCACGTCGGCAAACCCGGTAGAAAATGCTAAGGACAAAAGCAACAACTCAAGGTTGTGTGAAGACCTCTACGGCAGGTGGGTCTGTGTGGACCCTTCCTTGTCGGCTTGGCGGGTAGGACCTGAGCAGCAGCATATGACTTGTTATTATCCAGCGATAAACGCTAGGTACAACCATCCAGGCGGAACGAGCCATGTCTGCAGCAACATGGTCACCAACGTCTGTCACGATCATTTAGTGCATGCTAACCTCACAAGTGTAGGGTGTGATCGCCCGGGCAGACCTCTGCTCCCATCCCAGGTCAGGTATTCAGCGTATGGCCGTCAACTGAAAGTTCTTCCCCCATTCCATGTTACAGATTCAAGGGGCAGCCATCAGCAGGGAAGATCTCTAGCTCCATTGAATGCTATAGATTCAGTTTGTGGCCATCAGAGTGGATCTCTTCTCACATTCGATGTGACGAGACTACCACACCAGGCTGGACTTACAAACAGCCAAAGATCGGCTTGTGGGGCCACTCAAGCCACCAGGAAGAAGACGAGGGCAGACTGTGTCAGAGACCATGACCGGAAGGTCCTGAGTTCACAGGCCAGCCAGCAGCTCTCCGGCCAACAGTCTCACCAGAGACAGGTGTATATGATCACTAGAAGCGCATCCGGACCGGTAGTCAGTGTTGCTTACCCAGCCACTGAGAGACCTAGAGCTCGCGTCAAGTGATTATCACTAGTACTCTGTGATTGTCACTAGTGCATTTGTGATTGTCACTAATGCATCTGTGATTGTCACTAATGTATCTGTGATTGTCACTAGTACTTTGTGACTATCACTCGTATATCTGTGATTGTCATTGCATGTGTTTATGTGTAAATGTGTGTCTGTGCCAGTTTATATGTGTATGTATGTGTGTTTGTATGTTTACGTGTGTGTGTTTATGTATGTATATGTATGTGTTTATGTGGTCTGTCAGCTAACATCGTGACTTCTATTTTGAATTTCCGCCCTTCTGTTCCATGGGATTTCCAGGGCGACGATGTTGAAGCTATGGAGTTCATACTTTGTGTAAACCTCTGACGGGCGACCAGCAGTTCTGCGGAGACACCGATCCCCATAGGATCAAACTCAGCGCTTGAACCCTTGCTGTTTGAATTCTGATCATGTTCCCTCTGTCTTTGGCTGTTTCCCTTAGTGGGAGCATTCCATGGGATGGTAAACATCCGCCCCAGCTCCGTTGTCGAGGCAAGGAGAGATGGCTCCGTTGTAGAGACAATGAGAGATGGCTCCGTTGTAGAGGCAACGAGAGATGGCTCCGTTGTAGAGGCAATGAGAGATGGCTCCGTTGCCAAAGAATCAGGAGAATTTGCGACGAATGACAGTTGAAGATTTAACAGCGAACACATAAGCTGATTAAAAATGACGGAAAGCTGTTCACGGCGTGTAAGGACTAGAGGTGAGGTCCGTGTACAGGACTAGAGGTAAGATCTGTGTACAGGACTAGATGTGAGATCTGTGTACAGGACTAGAGGGGAGATCTGTGTACAGGACTAGATGTGAGATCTGTGTACAGGGCTAGAGGTGGAGATCCGTGTACAGGACTAGAGGTGAGATCCGTGTACAGGACTAGAGATCAGATCCGTGTACAGGACTAGAGGTGAGATCCGTGTACAGGACTAGAGGTGAGATCCGTGTACAGGACTAGAGGTGAGATAGGTGTACAGGACTAGAGATGAGATCCGTGTACAGGACTAGATGTGAGATCTGTGTTCAGGACTAGAGGTGAGATCTGTGTACAGGACTAGAGGTGAGATCCGTGTACAGGACTAGAGGTGAGATCCGTGTACAGGACTAGAAGTGAGATCCGTGTACAGGACTAGAGATGAGATCTGTGTACAGGACTAGAGATGAGATCCGTGTACAGGACTAGAGGTGAGATCCGTGTACAGGACTAGAGGTGAGATCCGTGTACAGGACTAGAGGTGAGATCTGTGTACAGGACTAGAGGTGAGATCCGTGTACAGGATTAGAGGTGAGATTTGAGTACAGGACTAGAGGTGAGATCTGTGTACAGGACTAGAGGTGAGATCCGTGTACAGGACTAGAGGTGAGATCCGTGTACAGGATTAGAGGTGAGATCAGTGTACAGGACTAGAGGTGAGATCTGTGTGCAGGATTAGAGGTGAGATCTGTGTACAGGACTAGACGTGAGATCCGTGTACAGGACTAGAGGGGAGATCCGTGTACAGGACTGGAGGGGAGATCCGTGTACAGGACTAGAGGGGAGATCTGTGTACAGGACTAGAGGGGAGATCTGTGTACAGGACTAGAGGGGAGATCTGTTTACAGGACTAGAGGGGAGATCTGTGTACAGGACTAGAGGTGAGATCTGTGTACAGGACTAGAGGTGAGATCTGTGTACAGGACTAGATGTGAGATCTGTGTACAGGACTAGAGGGGAGATCTGTGTACAGGACTAGAGGGGAGATCTGTGTACAGGACTAGAGATGAGATCTGTGTACAGGACTAGAGGTGAGATCTGTGTACAGGACTAGAGGTGAGATCTGTGTACAGGACTAGAGGTGAGATCCGTGTACAGGACTAGAGGTGAGATCCGTGTACAGGACTAGAGGTGAGATCCGTGTACAGGACTAGAGGTGGAGATCCGTGTACAGGACTAGAGGGGGAGAAATATATCGATTGTCGAGGCCGTCAGTGCAGAGACAGAAGGACCCCTTGTCTGCCGTGTCCAAAAGTGCACGATGACGGTCAAGGTCAATAACAGATAGGACCGATAGGTGGCATGACACGAAGACAATTGTAGTGTGACTTGAGGACGCTTGTGGTGTGACAAGGACGATGGTAGTGTTACACGAGTGCTCATGTAGTATGACGTGAGGACAAGTGTAGTGTGACACGAGGACAAGTGTAGTATGACACGAGGACAAGTGTAGTATGACACGAGGACAAGTGTAGTGTGACACGAGGACAAGTGTAGTGTGACACGAGGACAAGTGTAGTGTGACACGAGGACAAGTGTAGTGTGACACGAGGACAAGTGTAGTGTGACACGAGGACAAGTGTAGTGTGACACGAGGACAAGTGTAGTATGACACGAGGACAAGTGTAGTATGACACGAGGACAAGTGTAGTATGACACGAGGACAAGTGTAGTATGACACGAGGACAAGTGTAGTATGACACGAGGACAAGTGTAGTATGACACGAGGACAAGTGTAGTATGACACGAGGACAAGTGTAGTATGACACGAGGACAAGTGTAGTGTGACACGAGGACAAGTGTAGTATGACACGAGGACAAGTGTAGTATGACACGAGGACAAGTGTAGTATGACACGAGGACAAGTGTAGTGTGACACGAGGACAAGTGTAGTGTGACACGAGGACAAGTGTAGTGTGACACGAGGACAAGTGTAGTGTGACACGAGGACAAGTGTAGTGTGACACGAGGACAAGTGTAGTGTGACACGAGGACAAGTGTAGTATGACACGAGGACAAGTGTAGTATGACACGAGGACAAGTGTAGTATGACACGAGGACAAGTGTAGTATGACACGAGGACAAGTGTAGTATGACACGAGGACAAGTGTAGTATGACACGAGGACAAGTGTAGTATGACACGAGGACAAGTGTAGTATGACACGAGGACAAGTGTAGTGTGACACGAGGACAAGTGTAGTATGACACGAGGACAAGTGTAGTATGACACGAGGACAAGTGTAGTATGACACGAGGACAAGTGTAGTATGACACGAGGACAAGTGTAGTATGACGTGAGGACAAGTGTAGTGTGACACGAGGACAAGTGTAGTATGACGTGAGGACAAGTGTAGTATGACACGAGGACAAGTGTAGTATGACACGAGGACAAGTGTAGTATGACACGAGGATAAGTGTAGTATGACACGAGGACAAGTGTAGTATGACACGAGGACAAGTGTAGTATGACACGAGGAACCATATCGCGTGACACTTGTAAAGGGACACTAGGACTCGTGTAGTGCGATACGATGATCATTGTAAAGTGACCCGCAGACACTTGTAAAGTGACCCGCAGACACTTGTAAAGTGACCTGCTGACACTTCTAAAGTGACCCGCAGACACTTGTAAAGTGACCCGCAGACACTTGTAAAGTGACCCGCAGACACTTGTAAAGTGACCCGCAGACACTTGTAAAGTGACCCGCAGACACTTGTAAAGTGACCCGCAGACACTTGTAAAGTGACCCTCAGACACTTGTAAAGTGACCCGCAGACACTTGTAAAGTGACCCGCAGACACTTGTAAAGTGACCCGCAGACACTTGTAAAGTGACCCGCAGACACTTGTAAAGTGACCCGCAGACACTTGTAAAGTGACCCGCAGACACTTGTAAAGGGACCCTCAGACACTTCTAAAGTGACACTAGGACCCGTGTAGTATGACACGAGGACACTTCTGGTTTGATACTACGACACTTGTACAACAGGATGTTTTGGTGATCTCAGAATAAAGAAATGAGCAATATAACGGGCTTTTGTCAATTTCATGCCAGTGAAAGTGATTGCAAGGCACTTTTAATCCACAAATAGATTGCTTCTTTTCTAACCATTCTCCCTTATTGCTTAGATGAAGAACAAAATTTCAATTCATAACTATATTGTTTCCACACTTGATGTCTAAAGTCTGACTTCTCTACACTTAATAACCAGTCTATGATTTCCTCACATCCAGTATCCAGTCTCTGGTCTCCTCACATGTAGTCTCTGGTCTCCTCACATCCAGTCTCTGGTCTCCTCACATCCAGTCTCTGGTCTCCTCACATCAGTATCCAGTTTCTGGTTTCCTCATATCCAGTATCCAGTCTCTGATCTGCTCACATCCAGTATACAGTCTCTCGTCTCCTCACATCCAGTCTCTGGTCTCTTCACATTTAATATCTGATCACCTCACATCCAGTATCCAGTTTCTGGTCTCTTCACATCCAGTCTCCAGTCTCTGGTCTCTTCACATTTAATATCTGATCACCTCACATCCAGTATCCAGTTTCTGGTCTCTTCACATCCAGTCTCCAGTCTCTGATCTCCTCACATCCAGTATCCAGTCTCTGATCTCCTCACATCCAGTATCCAGTCTCTGATCTCCTCACATCCAGTATACAGTCTCTGGTCTCCTCACATCCAGTCTCCAGTCTCTGGTCTCTTCACATTTAATATCTGATCACCTCACATCCAGTATCCAGTTTCTGGTCTCTTCACATCCATTCTCCAGTCTCTGATCTCCTCACATCCAGTATCCAGTCTCTGATCTCCTCACATCCAGTATCCAGTCTCTGATCTCCTCAGATCAGTATCCAGTCTCCGATCTCCTCACATCCAGTATCTAATTTCTGGTTTCATCTCATCCAGTATCCAGTCTCTGGTTTCCTTACATCCAATCTCTGCTCTCCTCACATCCAGTATCAAGTCTCTAATCTTCTCACATCAGTAACCAGTCTCTGATCTTCTCACATCCAGTATCCAGTCTCTGGTTTTCTCACATCCAGTATCAAGTCTCTGATCTCCTCACATCAGTATCCAGTCTCTAATCTCCTCACATCCAATAGCCAGTTTCTGTTCTCCTCACATCTAGTATCCAGTCTCTGATCTCCTCACATCCAGTATCAAGTCACTGATCTCCTCACATCAGTATCCAGTCTCTAATCTCCTCACATCCAATATCCAGTCTCTGATCTCCTCACATCTAGTATCCAGTCTCTGATCTCCTCACATTCAGTATTAAGGCTCTGGTCCTCTCACTCGAGTATCCAGTCACTATTTTCTTCACATCTTTTGTCCAGTCTCTGGTATTCTCACATTCAATATCGATTTGTTTCTGGCCCCCAAAGATTCAGTTTTCAGTTGCTGGCCCCCAGAGATCCAGTATTCAGTTTCCGGCCCCCAGAGATCCAGTTTTCAGTTTCCGGCCCCCAGAGATCCAGTTTTCAGTTTCCGGCCCCCAGAGATACAGTTTTCAGTTTCTGGCCCCCAGAGATCCAGTATTCAGTTTCTGGCCCCCAGAGATCCAGTATTCAGTTTCCGGCCCCCTGAGATCCAAATTTTTTGCGGCCCCCTGAGAATCAGTATTAAGTTTTCGGCCCCCAGAGACCGAGTATCTACTTTCCGGGCCCCTGAGATCCTGTGACACAGTCGTCTCTTTTGCTGCCTATGCTTCCTCAATCAACCAACCCAGGCTCTGCGTGATTTTGTGTCAAGGGTGGCGGGTGTTTGTTGATAGACGAGGAGAAAGATGGTCGTGTCGATAGTGGAGTTAGTGAAGAAGATGTGTTGCTTGCAGCATGCCTCTCACGTGCCTTAGGTGCTTGAATAACAAAGTGTCTGAAACAACTGTTCTTTTTCTTTAAATCTTCTCCTTTAATATAATGTCACACAATTGAACACACACAAAAAATCACATTGTTAACTTCCTAACTCTATTCACTAATTCCATTTAACTACTACCTATGCCCTGGCCTCATCTTCATCTGACTCCGAAGTTGTGTCCACGCCAGAATCAGTCTGGAGCGATACTCGATGGTAATAAATGTCGGTTTCCCTTACAAAGTAACGGTACACCCGAGCCGTTCCATCATCGTTTGTCAAGACTATGGTAACCTCTTGAAAAGGGCCATAACTTCTAACCGTAATTCTTATTGAATACATGTATACTTATATCTTTAATTATTTTTAAACTACAAAACTGACCGGTACTTCGCTCTACTATTCGTCTCAGTCTCTATCTCTAGCCTGTCCTCTGGCCTGTCCTCTGCTGTCCTCTGTTGTCCTCTTTCTTCTGCCTCAGTCTATCTCCGTTTGTATCTTGTCTCTTCTCTATTTGTGTCTATCCTCTGTCTGTCTCTGTGTTCTCTGGGTGTGGGTGCCTTCTGTCTCTCCTCAACTATCCTCTGTTGTCCGTCTCGTGTGCGTCTGTCCTGGCTGTGTGTGCGTCCGTCTGCGTCTGTGTGTGTCGAAGGTTCCGGGCAATCGTTTATAAAGGGGTTACTAACTGCTCCCAGGGGGCTCCTATCCCTCCTTGTTTTGCAGTCTACTGCAATCACCTGAGCTGGCAGGGACATCGGTATTTGATTAATTAGTTTGGAGCTTGGACGGGGAGAGTCACATGTCTAGTCATGCGATTCATAGTACGTGGGAAACAAGAGTATGGACCTAGGGGGATGTAGTTGCTTACTAATGGAAAGTTTTACAATAAGGGTGAATGCCACAATGGTCTTGTCGTGCAAACAGTACAATACTAATAAAAAGGGGTTGGGGTGCCGACCCTGCTACATTCCAGTATTTTTTCCGACCCTCTAAGATAAAGTATCCAGTTTCCGGCCCCCTGAAATCCAGTTTTCAGTTTCCAGCCCCTGAGAATCAGTTTCCAATTTTCGGCCCCCAGAGACAGAGTATCTACTTTCCTGGCACGTGAGATCCAGAATTCAGTTTCCGGCCCCCTGAGATCCAGAACTGAGTTTCCGGCTCCCTGTGATCCACTATCCAGTTTCCGGCCCCCTGAGATTCGGTATTCAGTTTCTGGCCTCCTGAGATCCAGTATTCAGTAAACGGCCGCATGAGATCGAATTCCGGCCCCCTGTGACCGAGTATCTACTTTCTGGCCTCATGAGATTCAGTATCCAGTTTCTGTCCTGCTTCCATCCAGTATTCAATTACCAGCATCCCCTCCCCCCCCCCCCACCCCCGATGAGGGCACGAAGCGGTAGCTATGTTTCAGAAGCTGCCTGCTGATGATGTTGCCCCGTCGAGCTCTACTAAACGATTTGTTTTAATATACTTCACAGGGCTGCCAGTAAGATTTTTTTTTAAACCCAGCTAAGCTGAACAAAAACCCAAGCAATAACTAGGGGAAAAAATTTACCCAGGTTGTTAAAAAATACAAATTGTATAGTTAGGAAACGAAACATTTACTTTTATATCATTATCATCATCATCATCAGGCTTGCCGACTGGCGTGGGCGATCATGCCTCTCCATAATCCACGATCTCATGCAGCATGTATCAGTTCGTGTGCTGACACACCCCCATGCCATGCAACAAGACTGTCAAGAATCTTCTCTCGTTGTCTTCCTCTATCCCTCCTTTCTGACTATGTCCTTAGGATGTATATGGCATTGTTTCTACCTTTTCCTTCCACAAATCCACATTGTTCATCGCTGATTTCTGGTTTAATTTTGTTTCAGATTCTTCGCATAATTGATTAATTAATTAATGTTCTTTAGTTTTTACAATCTAAAACACTAAACTACTTCAAGCCACAAACCAAGAAACTTTAGACAGTATGATTACCAAGAGAAGATGGAAATGGCTTGGCCACGTTAGGAGAATGACTTCTGATATACCTGCCAAAACAGCTCTCACATGGACACCAGAGGGAAAGAGAAAACAGGGGCGCCCAAAAACAACATGGAGACGAACGATGGAAAGTGACTTGAGTGCGGCATCTTTGACATGGAAAACTGCACTGAAGATTGCACAGGACAGGAAAGCATGGAATGTCCTCTCTGAAGCCTCATGTGCCACTAGGCATAACGAGAACTGACTGAAGAAGAAGTTTTATTCTAATTTTTCCTACAACTGGAACATGGTCAGTAAAGCAGTCTGCTCATGGTTTAGTTTTTGCTCCAACTAAGCTGCTCCAGAATCTTCTTCATTTATATAAGGATTTATTTTATTTAAAACCCAAGATTTCCCAATTTGAAACCAAGGCGTTAAATAAAAACCCAGATCTGGGGGTAAAAACCCATCAGTGGCAGCCCTGCTTTACGCAATTACGCCAAATTCACGCCTTGATATTTGCAACTTTTCCCTATTGTCGTCGTTGCTAGCAGTCTGTCTTTGTTGCCTGGTGTGTGTGGTCTCCGTGTCTTTTTGTTGTCTGCCTGCCAGACATGAAAAATACCGCGCGGAGTCAACCTTGCCTTTGTTGTATAATTACTTCTATACACATCCAGCCCTTTCGCCTGCAGTCAGTTTCTGTCCTACGTTTGTACTGGCGTTGCTGTTCGTCAGATACATCAAATACTTGTACAGACATTAGATACATCAATTTTCTGCGCAGATATACAATCTTCACTGATTGGACTGTACACTGGAGACCTCATCTTTAGAGATTTCCATTTCGGTAAATATAAAAGACGGTGTCGGGTTGAGATGAAAGCTTTTGCCAAATGGGAAAATGCACTCTGTAATTTCTCACGTAAAATGTGAAAGCTTATATTTTCGCTAACGATGGCTTACAAATTCTATTTCCCTCCCAACGAGCAAGGTCTATAATTTCAGCTCGTCATGTTCGAGACTGGTCCATCAATTCAGACATAAGATCCGTGGTCCGACTGCGGCTAGAGTCGCTTGATTGACGGATCAAATATCGTTGACTAAGAGCAGCAGACAGTATCTTCAACATCCGCTCTATTTTCTTTTTATGTTTGTTCATTCCATCCGATTTTTACAGTACTCCTCTGATGTAAGAATTTGACCCACGAGTGCAACTTTCTGAGCACACAATTCTTAAGCTTCACAAACATATTACACACAATTCACACCATTTTAACAAAAATCGCACACATTGGTCTCACACAATCCGAACCTCACACACTAATGTCACTCAACCAGAAGCTCACACACTAATGTCACGCAACCAGAACCTCACACAATAATGTCACTCAACCAGAACCTCACACACTAATGTCACTCAACCAGAACCTCACACAATTATGTCACTCAACGAGAACCTCACACAATAATGTCACTCAACCAGAACCTCACACAATAATGTCACTCAACCAGAACCTCACACAATAATGTCACTCAACCAGAACCTCACACACTAATGTCACTCAACCAAAAGCTCACACACTAATGTCACTCAACCAAAAGCTCACACACTAATGTCACTCAACCAAAAGCTCACACAATAATGTCTCGCAACCAGAGCCTCACATACTAATGTCACTCATCAAGAACCTCACACACTAATGTCACGCAACCAGAACCTCACACAATAATGTCACTCAACCAGAACCTCACACACTAATGTCACTCAACCAGAACCTCACACGCTAATGTCACTCAACCAAAACCTCACACACTAATGTCACTCAACCAGAACCTCACACACTAATGTCACTCAACCAGAACCTCACACACTAATGTCACGCAACTAAAACCTCACACACTAATGTCACTCAACCAGAACCTCACACACTAATGTCACTCAACCAGAGTCTCACACAATAATGTCACTTAACCAGAACCTCACACAATAATGTCACTCAACAAAAACCTCACAAACTGATGTCACTCAACAAAAACCTCACAAACTAATGTCACTCAACAAAAACCTCACAAACTAATGTCACTCAACATAAACCTCACACACTAATGTCACTCAACAAAAATCTCACAAACTAATGTCACTCAACAAAAACCTCACAAACTAATGTCACTCAACAAAAAGCTCACACACTAATGTCACGCAACCAAAACCTTACACACTAATGTCACGCAACCAGAATCTCGCGCGCTTTTTTAAACTACCCGAACTTCCCCACATTGTTCTTACAAATTCCTAAATCTCGTCCACATCCCACACACACACGCACACATCTCTTCCAAAACACACACGCGCGCGCACACACACGCGCGGGCACACACACACACACATTATAGCCGAAAGATAAATGAATCCCTCAAAAATTGTATAGAAATAAGTCATTTAATCTGTCAGTCTGTCAGTCGGTGGGTCTTCCTCCCACACAGATCCCCTGTGTTTCCTAGCGTATATAGCACATCTCCCCCACAGATCTCCTGCGTATCCTAGTGTATATTCAAAATCTCCCACACAGGTCCCTCGTGTATCCTAGTGTATATAGCACATCTCCCACACAAATCTCCCGTGTATCCTATTGTGTTTAGCACATCACCCACACAGATCTCCGCTATATCCTGGTATATGTTATCCACCCATCAGAACACGATCCCATCGAACCACCAAAGGAACCAATCAGACGCTTGTGTCCATGACCTTTAACAGATTTTCTAATGTGACTTCCTGTCAATTAGACTAATTATCTCAAATGGCTTGTGTGTCGTATGGGGCTGTTACTGTCTATTGTGTTTTCTTCCAGTAACTGTAGTTAGTCGTTTGATTTCTCAAACCCTTACGACTGTTGTCTATCATGTTTTCTTCCAGTCACTTTGGTTGGTCTTAGAAAAATTACTTACTCTCATTACTAGGTTTTTTTTTTTTTGGCGGGGGTGGAAGGTAAAAGGCGGGGGAGAGGGGGGGGGGGGGGGGTTCAAGTTGCTACTAATGTCTGTTATTTCTACGTCACTCTCCCTGTTGTCTGCTGTGTTTTCGTGACCTCACTGTTGCTGTCTTTTGTGCCGTGAAATTACTTGAAACAGAAACCAAACATGACTGCATTCAAACAATTACTAACTAAGCGCGCATGCGTGCCCTGGTGCTTTGGACGCTACGTGGCGAGAGCGCGCTCCCCGTGAGCTCAGTGAAGGACCAGAACAAGAACTCGAGGTAACTCTCAGTGAGTTCTGTTTGGTTGACCAACTACCTCCACGTGCTGGCGTCTGTCGGTTGCCGCTCTTGTGCAAGTTGTGAAACTGATTCTGTGATTTCATACAAAGACAAGCAAGTATTACTAGTGTCAGTAGTGTGACGGTGCAGTGTCAGTAATGTGACGGTGCAGTGTCAGTAGTGTTACTGTGCAGTCTCAGTAGTGTGACGGTGCAGTGTCAGTAGTGTGACTGTGCAGTCTCAGTAGTGTGGCGGTGTGGTGTCAGTAGTGTGAAGGTGTAGTGTCAGTAGTGTGACGATCTGGTGTCAGTAGCGTGACGGCGCAGGGTCAGTAGTGTGACGATGCAGTGTTAGTAGCGTGTCGGTGCAGTGTCAGTAGTGTGACTGTGCAGTCTCAATAGTGTACGATGTGGTGTCAGTAGTCTGATGATGTAGTGTCAGTAGTGTGACGGTGTAGTGTCAGTAGTGTGTCGGTGCAGTGTCAGTTGTTGGACGATGTAGTATCAGTAGTGTTACGGTGTAGTTTCAGTAGTGTGACGATGTAGTGTCAGTAATGTGACGGTGTGGTGTCAGTAGTCTGACGGTGTAGTGTCAGTAGTGTGATGGTGTGGTGTTAATAG